CTTGCATTTCTCGACAGGGATGCCGGAGGGTACGTACTGCAACGTGATTGACGGATGCGAGACGGAGGTGACAGTGGAAAGTGATGGGACGGCCCGCATCCAGATCACCAACCCCGAGGAACCAATCCTGGCCATCTGTCAAGGGTGCACCGGAGACGGATTTCCTAGGATGCAATGAAACCAATTGCAAATGCCCGAATCAACTCTCCATGAATGTGTCAGCAAATAAAATGACACCCCAGAAATATATCTGCTAGAAAAAAAATTATTAGACGTTTCAATCGCGAAGAAAAAGAACTTGAGCCAAAATAATCGGTAAAGGACATTTTGGGATGTGGAAAAAAAAAACCATATATCGCAAGAGTTCTGAGAAAATAAACCTGGCACATTCATTCCAGGCAAGAAATGGCATTGAGCAATGCTCTCCCGGGATCTGTTTACCTCTACCTCAACCGCAAACGAAGCAAGGGTACATGTCCGGGTTGAGATCTGCCATTCCACCAGCCACTGTACCGCTGGGGGTCACCTATTTCCCCTCCACTGAATGAGAGCCATGAAATGCATAATGTAAAAATAAATGGATGCAATCCTTTTTTCGTCGTTTTTGCCAACATGAATATGAATAAACTTAGGAAATTTAACGAAGTCCCTGTGATCTTGCGAGTCTGCGCCGCATGGATATAGGAGGAGAGTAATAGGTGTGGAGGTGTGGGATGCCAGATGCGGCACTTCACGAGTTCGGTCAATCCCTTCTACTATGAGCAGCTCCTTCCTTTTCTCCACTATAGATCAATAAAAATATATTGCAATGGTTGAAAGAGAACAAGTAGTTTTGTTTTAGTCAATAACTAACACCCTGTTCTGGGCTGAGTTGCTGCATATGCGTATCGAGGCAGCCGCAGACCAGTGGAGTGAAAATGAAAGATAAAACAAAACATCAGACCGCTATAGGAACTAGTTTCCCATGGCTCACGTTGGGAATCACAGATTATGATGCCGAGCCTCAGCTTCATATTGGAGAAGTCCAGAAATGCCATTCCAAGGTGCCTGGAAAAGAAGCAGTGCTGACTCTCATATTAACTGGGGAAAGGTATCATCGAAATAGGAAAAAATAAATTTAATATATATAGACGCTTGTGAGTGATTCATTGACCGACTAATTCTACTCTACAGTATATGTTCTGGAAAAGAGAGCTTGAGACTTGTTACATGAATAGCTATTAGATTGCTAACTATATAAATTCGGACTTTTGGGGTACATGTCTTGGGAGCGCATTTTATAAGCCCAGGCTTAGCCCACCAAGAAAGCCTAAGCCAATGCTAGATAGTATGTGTGAAAGAATTAGCTTTGACCTTCCTATCGACGATTCAACGTCTGAGGCTTCTTTCAGGATGAATCCTCCATGTACGGGACTGGGATATAAGGAGAAGGGATACCAGGGTAATAAAATCACACTGAATAATAGTTTTATGATGCATAGTTTGCATAAATATCTGAGCACGGAAAGAAACTTCATACCAACCCTGTATTTCCTGAATTCGGCCAGTAGGCTTCAAGGCCCTAGCTCGAGGAGATTAAAACTTTTCTTTTAACATTTATCATAAGAACCTTCAGGTCAGCGAAATGAAGTTCACAAGTTCAAGCATTTCAGATTTAATACTCCAATTAAACAAATTTTATTTAGGATCCGACTGCACAATCGTCGCTTCCTCAAGTATACCTCACAAGAAAACCCTATTAATCAACTATTACTACCTATTAATCCACCCTATACCCCTTACGAAAGAATCCTACAGGAATTCTGTAGGAACGTATAGGAATCCTATTGGAAGCATGCATTTGTGACGAGAAGAACTGAAGGCAGGGAGGTTGCATGGACGAGAGAGGACGAAAGAAAGCCAGGGGACGGCCGGGAATCGAACCCGAGCCTCCTAATTGCGGGTCAGGTGTGCTACCATTACACCACCGAACCTTCAGTCGTGCCTCTCAACACTGCCTTCATCGCACTACCTCCCTCCTAATGATGGCCGGGCATGGCATTCCCATCCCTAAGAAATAGGTTTTTTCTGCGTATAGGTGGATTTTCCTGAGTTTCAGATTTCCGGATGTGACTGTATTGCACGATTTCCCATACCATACGCACGCCTTGCCTATGGTATGTCCTCTTACACGGAATACTCTTTATTCTGAACCGTTCCACCCAAAAATGGGTTTCTGGGCGGATATTCTAGCTTCAGAGCTTCTGGCTGCGAAGATCCGCACAGATGTAACATAGACCTCTGTTAAAGACGTGGTGGTGAGAGAACTTTCAAAAGTCAGAGTTCAGAAAGAAACGTTAAGCGACGTAACTTCTAGCACAATAAGGTCAAAGAAATCTTCTACGACGTGCTTCTTTAGAAGCACGACAAGACGACAACACGACAGCACGACAGCACGACAACAAACAGCGACGCACTTACCGTTCCGAATTATCATGCGCTGCTGCATTTGAACCACTTCATAAACGAAGAGTTGAGTACAGTACACCCTAATTATTTATTTTGATTGAGAGGAGGAAAGACGTCATCAAATGGATGTAGTCTGGTCGTAGTCAAATGATTGACCTCGTCGGATGCTTTGAAGCAGTAAAGACCGTTTCCGGAAGTGTCAACAATCGTTCCACCAAAAAGGAAGCAAAGGCGTTTGCGCTGTAACACTGCCCGATCAACTCGTAAAAATTGCGATCGTTTGCACCTTCCCCCATCAACGTTTTCCCTCCGAAACTCCAATGGGATCGAATGGAACATCGTAACATGATCGTGACAACAACCTTGCCGAAGTCTTCACTTCGAAGCGGAGTAAGTCAAAACCAAGCAGTGTTCTACAGAGTACTCCACTTTCATAGGGATCGTGCGGAATGGCTGGAATGACGTTGGGTGTCCCAGTCAACGCATTTCTCCCACGAAGCACCCTGGACGTGCCGATCAACCCGGACGGAAGTTGTGGGAACGGGTGGGTGTGCGAACACAGATGGCCAGTCATCACCCGAATGGTAACAAATGTTTGAGTGATCGGTCCTTTGGTCTAACCTTCACTTAATTCACGATGGATAATGTCATTCCAGGTTGAATTTAGAAATGCCGTGGTTGGGACAGACCTGGAAAACTTCTTCTTGGAAGGGGATGACGTGGCCTTCTCTCGAGGGGACAAGGGATTCTTCGCCATTTCAAAATCTGGTTCCATGGATAGGGTCTTCCAAACCGGTACGAGCGATCATCAACTCCTCTCTCGTCTGCCGATCGGGCGAACGTGAGAATCTCTTGCATTTCTCGACAGGGATGCCGGAGGGTACTTACTGCAACGTGATTGACGGATGCGAGACGGAGGTGACAGTGGAAAGTGATGGGACGGCCCGCATCCAGATCACCAACCCCGAGGAACCAATCCTGGCCATTTGTCAAGGGTGCACCGGAGACGGATTTCCTAGGATGCAATGAAACCAATTGCAAATGCCCGAATCAACTCTCCATGAATGTGTCAGCAAATAAAATGACACCCCAGAAATATATCTGCTAGAAAAAAAATTATTAGACGTTTCAATCTCGAAGAAAAAGAACTTGAGCCAAATTAATCGGTAAAGGACATTTTGGGATGTGGAAAAAAAAAACAATATATCGCAAGAGTTCTGAGAAAATAAACCTGGCACATTCATTCCAGGCAAGAAATGGCATTGAGCAATGCTCTCCCGGGATCTGTTTACCTCTACCTCAACCGCAAACGAAGCAAGGGTACATGTCCGGGTTGAGATCTGCCATTCCACCAGCCACTGTACCGCTGGGGGTCACCTATTTCCCCTCCACTGAATGAGAGCCATGAAATGCATAATGTAAAAATAAATGGATGCAATCCTTTTTTCGTCGTTTTTGCCAACATGAATATGAATAAACTTAGGAAATTTAACGAAGTCCCTGTGATCTTGCGAGTCTGCGCCGCATGGATATAGGAGGAGAGTAATAGGTGTGGAGGTGTGGGATGCCAGATGCGGCACTTCACGAGTTCGGTCAATCCCTTCTACTATGAGCAGCTCCTTCCTTTTCTCCACTATAGATCGATAAAAATATATTGCAATGGTTGAAAGAGAACAAGTAGTTTTGTTTTAGTCAATAACTAACACCCTGTTCTGGGCTGAGTTGCTGCATATGCGTATCGAGGCAGCCGCAGACCAGTGGAGTGAAAATGAAAGATAAAACAAAACATCAGACCGCTATAGGAACTAGTTTCCCATGGCTCACGTTGGGAATTACAGATTATGATGCCGAGCCTCAGCTTCATATTGGAGAAGTCCAGAAATGCCATTCCAAGGTGCCTGGAAAAGAAGCAGTGCTGACTCTCATATTAACTAGGGAAAGGTATCATCGAAATAGAAAAAAATAAATTTAATATATATATATACGCTTGTGAGTGATTCATTGACCGACTAATTCTACTCTATATGTTCTGGAAAAGAGAGCTTAAGACTTGTTACATGAATAGCTATTAGATTGCTAACTATACAAATTCGGACTTTTGGGGTACATGTCTTGGGAGCGCATTTTATAAGCCCAGGCTTAGCCCACCAAGAAAGCCTAAGCCAATGCTACTATCATACTATCATACACACTTTCTTAATCGAAACTGGAAGGATAGCTGCTAAGTTGCAGACTCCGAAGAAAGTCCTACTTAGGAGGTACATGCCCTGACCCTATATTCCTCTTCCCTATGGTCCCATTATTTTTCACACGAATAATAGTTTTATGATGCATAGTTTGCATAAATATCTGAGCACGGAAAGAAACATCATACCAACCCTGTATTTCCAGAATTCGGCCAGTAGGCTCCAAGGCCCTAGCTCGAGGAGATTAAAACTTTTCTTTTAACATTTTTCATAAGAACCTTCAGGTCAGCGAAATGAAGTTCACAAGTTCAAGCATTTCAGATTTAATACTCCCATTAAACAAATTTTATTTAGGATCCGACTGCACAATCGTCGCTTCCTCAAGTATACCTCACAAGAAAACCCATTTAATCAACGATTACTACCTATTAATCTACCCTATACCCCTTACGAAAGAATCCTACAGGAATTCTGTAAGAACGTATAGGAATCCTATTGGAAGCATGCATTTGTGACGAGAAGAACTGAAGGCAGGGAGGTTGGATGGACGAGAGAGGACGAAAGAAAGCCAGGGGACGGCCGGGAATCGAACCCGAGCCTCCTAATTGCGGGTCGGGTGTGCTACCATAACACCACCGAACCTTCAGTCGTGCCTCTCAACACTGCCTTCATCGCACTACCTCCCTCCTAATGATGGCCGGGCATGGCATTCCCATCCCTAAGAAATAGGTTTTTTCTGCGTATAGGTGGGTTTTCCTGAGTTTCAGATTTCCGAATATGACTGTATTGCACGATTTCCCATATCATATGCACGCCTTGCCTATGGTATGTCCTCTTACACAGAATACCCTTTATTTTGAACCGTTCCACCCAAAAATGGGTTTCTGGGCGGATATTCTAGCTTCAGAGCTTCTGGCTGCGATCTAGGCGTGTCTACATTGTATCTGGAGACAATTTCTGCACCACCACTCTCTTGAAAGTTTTCAGTCTCAAGTCTTTCTTTGCAATTCGCTGCATTGAAGATCGTGTTATTCCAGTTTCTTTAGAAGCACGACGTGCTTCTAAAGAAGAGGAAATGGCTGACGCCTAATTTCTGGGATGGAGCTGATGCAGAGTACTCTGCTGGAACCTGTGCCATAGGTGTTCCAGGTGACGTGGCCCAGAGAGTTCACTGGTAACGTCTTCTAGACCTGTACCAAAGTCTCTTCGATGGTGTGGAACTCGAAGCCAGACGTGTGTCATGTGGCACCGTCCTGCATCAGCACAGCCTTTTCTTGGTCTGAGCAGATCACACAGATCTTCAAGTGGCCCGTGTGTATAAGCATGATGTTTTCACACTGTCTGACAGGAATAAGACAAATTTTGTTGAGGGTGGGTCAGAAACACCGTATATAATGCCATCACAACTCCTTTTACGCGGGCGACCGCTAAATTAAATTGAAACGTTTCTTTTACTTGTATACCTAAATTTCGCGATTTATTATTAATACTTCCAAATGTTGTCAGCAATCATTATGCGCATCATCAGCATCAATATACGTAATCTATATGATTATACTTATTTTTAATATTAAAAAAATGATTGAGTCGTCATAGAAGATATAATTATTTTTCAGGAATTTTGATATGCCATGACACTGCGAAGACCTTCAACGTTATCGACATTGTATTGACTCTAGCTGAACGTTCCCACAACGCAACTATGTTTGCTGGGGACATATGCCACAAGCATAGTGAAGGGGAAAGGGAGTCCAGATCGGACATCCCTGACGGCATTGCCACACCTTCCCACGCTCTGTCACTGTTGTCTCGGGATGGCTCATCCCGAGACAAGACAAAAGTTGGCTGCCGCCCTAGCGCCGATGTGGGGCCTACACGGGCAGCCCACTGCGATGTGAGCCCACTCTCCCCTACTCGTATCTAATGTGGGCCCAACGTTGTGTGCTGCCTGGGGGAGATCAGACTGAGTCGGGCCGAATGGCGCATAGTATCGCTATTCCAAAATAAAAACATGTCAACTCGACTCAACAACTCTAACCTAAGGAGGAATTTTTGCAAAAACTCCGAGTTTTTTCAGGCAATGCTAAGCGGGAGCCTAGGGTCGAGGAAAAGAACTTCAGTAATTAGGGATTACAATAGGAAAGTATCGTTTATTTTGTATCTTGTCTCCTGTAAGGTGAAGACGTCCCGAGATACCGAAAAGCAAAGAAAATGGCGGAATAATTCAATCTCATATGAAATCCATGCAGAAAAGATGTCGTGACTTGGATATTCATGCATACGATAAATTTACCGGTTCGATTATCGTGGATTTTATAGCAAAAATATCCTATAACACACAGAATAAGCACGTTTGTTTCTCACTTCGGCATCGCAGACTCTAAGCCGTTGCCCAAACAGCTCCTTCACCAATTAGCGGAGGTACAATCGCTTTGTAAACGCATGGAGAGCTCAGATAGATAGCCTCCTGTATTCGTGGAAATGTTTCACTGCCCAAATCGAACAAAAATCGAATAAATCAAATTTCGTCTGCAGCAGCGCGCATGTTTTCTGTCAAACGAATCGTTCGGAACGATGACCACAACGGGCTCATTTTTACGCAAGTCTCAATGATTTAACTGCGAAGTACTTTGCGGACAACTGGCAACACCCGGCGAATGTCACCACTCAGCATAACTACTAATCCACGGACTCTGTCATCGTCCATCGAGTCTCGCAGGGCGCGTTCCATCGTTTCCTGCACTTCAGAGGGCGCCATCGGCGCTTCATCCCAAATGGTGACGTCGGTAGCTGGAATCATCGCCTGATTTTTGCGCGATGAATGACACGTTCAGTAAGTGAATCCGTGTGGTGTACGGGAATTGTTTGCCAGGGCCACTTGCTTCATCGATAACAAACAGCGACGCACTTACAGTTCCGAATTATCATGCGCTGCTGCATTTGAACCACTTCATAAACGAAGAGTTGAGTACACCCTAATTATTTATTTTGATTTAGAGGAGGAAAGACGTCATCAAATGGATGTAGACTGGTCGTAGTCAAATGATTGACCTCGTCGGATGCTTTGAAGCAGTAAAGACCGTTTCTGGAAGTGTCAACAATCGTTTCACCAAAAAGGAAGCAAAGGCGTTTGCGCTGTAACACTGCCCGATCAACTCGTAAAAATTGCGATCGTTCGCACCTTCCCCCATCAACGTTTTCCCTCCGAAACTCCAATGGGATCGAATGGAACATCGTAACATGATCGTGACAACCTTGCCGAAGTCTTCACTTCGAAGCGGAGTAAGTCAAAACCAAGCAGTGTTCTACAGAGTACTCCACTTTCATAGGGATCGTGCGGAATGGCTGGAATGACGTTGGGTGTCCCAGTCAACGCATCGAGTGTGGGTTAAAGGTTCCATGCGTACACGCACTGCTCTCCGCACAGCGTTAACAGCCTCTTGTTGCTCTATTATTAGTGTTTCTCTCCTCCTCGCACCGACGTCTTCACGTAGCTCACTTGTCAGTGCAGACCTTCGCAGCCTCGCCGCTCCTCTTCCACGGGTGCACCGCATCCGACTTTCTTAACACTTCGCGTACCGCTCACGGAGAACTTCGTTTTTGAGTCCTTTCGCGAGTCATTTTGCTTAGCCTATGGCCGAAAAAGGTCACGGCCTTATCGGCCTCGAGCTTCAGGCTAAGATATCTGAGGCTTAGGTCAGAGAGGCGGATCGACGGAGTAAATTGTCCTGTACGCAATGGGACAATCTATTTACCCCTCCTCCCCCCCAACCAAGGACCTGGAAAGGTACAGGCTTGAAGGCCTTACAGCTGCAAGGGCGAATCACGAAACGCGCTTAGCCTATGACATGGAAAGGCGAAGGCTCGCAGGCCAATCGGCTTTCTAGCGTATTGAAGGGAAGAAGCTGTATAGGCCAGAGGCTACACCTACCACGAAACGGCTTAGCGTTTTCTAATATAGTATGGATGGATGGAGTATGGATTGATACTTTCATTCCCAATGGCTTCGACATAAGTAGTACTTATCATCACCTGGATTTTGCAGGAAACTTGCTCGTTGACAAACTTTAAGCAATGCGGACTATCTCGAGATTCTAGTCGCCGTTTTTCATTTACAGTTTGCTTCCATAGGAAACGCCGAAAATGACATTTCATTGCCGAAACAATATGTCTCCGAATGAGATCCAGTTCTCATGGATAAAAATCGATTCTGAATTGCCGAAACTGCTATTACTTTTCAGACATATTTCCAACGATATTCTTCACTCGCCAAATGCCGAAAATGAATTGCAAACCATCTAAAAGCAAGTCGCAAAA